AAAAAAAAAAAAAAAAAAGCCATAACTTACAAATCAGCCGGTTATTACTCAATATCTTGCTAAATTCGCGGGCAAAACGTGATATTAGCACTAAATAAGTACTCAACTTGGCAAACAAGAAAAACTACTACTACTTATTAAAACATTAAACTATTTATAGATACACACACACAGATAACTCTCTATAAATAGAGAATTAAATTAATACAAATGTTACACATCAAAACAGGAAACTAACATTAGATAGATATATTTTATTATTAGATACTGGTTAACTATCACACAGATACACGCTAAAAACTTAACCTCAATGATTATTAAATCATTTAGCGTGTTAATACATTGATAGCATATCATTAGCTACCTATATTTATTACTAGGTATTTGCTAACTGTAGTGATAATGTAACAAATGTAGTAGTATTTTTTAAAGGGGGAAAATCACCGGATTACTTCTCCGGCCCGAATGAGACAAGAGGGAGTGTCAGACTCTTACTGACTAGAAACCATCCCGTTCCTACTCCTTTTTTTGAGGGGGGAAAATCATCGAATTACTTCTCCCGCCCGGGCGAGGCGAGAGGGAGTGTCAGACTCTTACTGACTAAAACCACCCCGTTCCTACTCCTGCACTTCGAGCCGGAGCCCCGGTAACCCGTTAGGTTCTCCATGATGTCCCCCCCTTAAAAAAATCAAATTGTACATCTGATTACTCTGCTGAAAGGGTGCTATTAGCCCGTTCAGGTATTTAAACAAAATCACTTAGGTACTCATTTCCTAAGTAAACAGTTACCTATAGGTAAATACTACAAATACAATGTTAGCTGTTTGCAAAATTGGGTTATATTACCTATACCTACAAGCGGTGATTCACTCGTCGACTATTTTAATAAGTGTAACATATAAAATACCATAATCCAGCACATTTTGTAAGAAACCGACTCAACTATAATGTATGGGTCACAACGCGACACAATATTATTAATTTGAAGAAATACCTATATACAATAACTAGCTGTTGTCGAAACTTCGTTCGCGTAGAACGTGATTCCGGATGATGCGGGAGTGTCAGACTCTTACTGACTAAAAACCACCCCGTTCCTTCTCCTGCACGTCGAGCCGGAGCCCCGGCAACCCGTTAGGTTCTCCGCGACTCCGAATCGGCATCGGCCCTGTCGGGCCCCATCTGTGGTGGTCTGATGGCTTTTTGAGGCGCGCGCGGTACGCGACGCTCGGGTCTGTTTCTGGTCGGACGAGGAGCCACCCACGCTCGCCGCATTTAATCGGGATAAAGTATATACATATATGTATATATCTTAAACACTTTTATATATGACTTAGGTATATCACCTAAGTCAGCCGATACCCTGTCTGTATACCAAATTTCATCAAAATCCAATCAGTAGTTTCAGCGTGATTGACGGACAAACATATAAACAAAGAATCTTTCACATATTTCGTAATATTATTAGTAGGATTTTAATGAACTGTGTGGACGAGAAAGCAGGTTACAGTTATGTCACCACAATTTTAGAATTGACTTACCTTATTTGTCAAAATAATCCAACAACACTACGCTGTGCTTGAAAAACACTATATAACACACAACACAGTCCAAACATACACTTTAGACTGAAAGAGTATCAATCACACAAAATCCACAGTTGATAAAACAATTCTCGTAAATTCTATTATATCAATCACTTCACTGTACACACCGCAACGTGCACAAAACAAAAGACGCACACCGAATATTGTATTGTTTGTAAAATTCAAACAATTCACGGAGATCAAACAAAAGTCAATATTTGTTTTAATTAATTATTATTTTGTTAATTTTATTTATTTTACAAAAGGACTGTTGTTCGTGGATCGTTTTTCATTATAGTATGGATCTCTTTGTCAGTATCTAATGAATCATAGCTCTTATCGTTATCAATGATACCTGATACTGGGCGTTGTTTGACTGTGATAATGATAAAGCATCGCAAATACTCTATGATCAAATACCTTATCCGTTTTGTAGGTCAAGGTGCATCGATTCATGTCAATATTCTATTTATTGGTATTTTTTTTAATTATTGAATTTGGTTTCAAGGACTTTAGAATTGTTTACTGTATGTAATTTGAGTTTATTTTTCCATAGGGATGATGACAGGGTATGAAAATAAAAAAATCTAATTAGTCCGTCAGTTAGGTAATGAAAAAATACGACACGTATTTTTTTATTTTGTCATATAAGAAAACAATACTTAGATAAAACGAATCAAAGTTTAGGAATTTTTTTTTTTTTTTTTTTTTTTAAGGGGGGAAAATCATCGAATGACTGCCCCCGCCTGGGTGAGGCGGGAGGGAGTGTCAGACTCTTACTGACTAAAAACCACCCCGTTCCTTCTCCTGCACGTCGAGCCGGAGCCCCGGTTACCCGTTAGGTTCTCCGCGACTCCGAATCGGCATCGGCCCTATTGGGCCCCATCTGTGGTGGTCTGATGGCTCTTTGAGGCGCGCGCGGAACGCGACGCGCCGTACGCTCGGGTCTGTTTCTGGTCGGACGGGGAGCCACCCATGCTCGCCGTCCGCAGGCCCGCGCTTACGGTGGCCGGAGATCGTCCCGCGATCCCCGACGCCCGGTGTGTCCTTCGCGATGGCTGGGTTGCGAGGAGGCAGCGCTTCGCTGCCTCACGCGTCCCGCCTCCTCCTTAGCTAGCATGACTGCTTCGCAAAAGGAGGAGACGGCATCCCAATCCCCCTCGCTCCGCATCATGGCCTGCACTAGGCCCGGACGCGAGAGGTCGCCATCGCCGATCACTTCCCTGAGGACACGGCGGTGCTCAGCCCACGAAGGGCATTCTCCCACCGTGTGTTCCACCGTGTCCTCAGGGCGGTCCTCGCAGTGATGACACCCGGGCGTTTCCTCCCGCCCCATCAGACACAGGTACCTCCCGAAACTTCCATGTCCGGTGAGGACCTGCGTCAGGCGGTAGGTGAGGACGCCGTAGCGTCTTTTAAGCCACTCCTCAAAGAGGGGACTTACCGCTGCGATGGCAGCGAGCTTAGGAATGGGAGGTAGCTACGTCATTTTAGAGTTTAGAGTATAAATCGTATTCAAAAGTAACGTCATGCGATATTTCAAATCAATATATCTTCGAAACTATTTGTGTCCGTAAGAAAATAAAAAATACGTGTTTAATGTTTTCAAATAATCTACCAGACGGACATTAATATAAAAATTAGTCATATACCCTATTCATGTTGGTACCTATTTAATTTCAGTTTAATTTAATATGATACCTTCCATTAGATTTGTAATTGATCTATTTACAAAAATATATGATTTCCGTTGTTATTGTGCTACACAGTGCTTCGTTAGCCGAGTGGTCGCAAGCGACTGCCGGGGAAGGTGTCTCGGGTTCGATTCCCCGGCCGCTCAAAATATTACTGCGTTTTAAAAAAGAAATCTCAGCAGTAGCACAGAGTCTGGATTTGTGCTTGGTATATGGAAATAGGCTCACCCCATATTACATAGGACTCATAGCGTAACTGTGAAAAGTGGGTGTTACACTGTAGAGTGGCATTAAGTGCCGTAATGTGCACCTATGCTTACCCATTCGAGGATAAAAGGCGTGATGTTATGTATGTCTGCTACACAGCACTCATGGTTGCAACACTAATGGGTATCTACTAACCATCGATACCTTGATCTAAGTGTTTTGGAAATTTTATTCTAATTGGTTCACTCTAGGATTTAGTTTAAAGAAAACATGTTCGTGTTAGCCATCAAACTCTATGTTTGGCGTACAGATCATACCCGGACCCAGAACAGCAGAACACTGGACGACAAACAACTCCTTATTGTTTGAAGTCGGTTAATACCTGTAACCGGTACCTGCAAAACTACTCTTAAGTATAAACAAAGACTTTTACTGAAAACCGCATCAAAATCAGTTCAGTCAATCGTGAGATTACCACAGACACACAATCAGATCAATCTGAGAATTTCCTTATTTGAAGTCTATTATAGAATATCTAAATTGCTTGAGACCGAAGCCACGGGCAATGCTAGTGAAAATAATGTATTGACAATTATAAATTCGTACCGAGACTAGTTCGCGTATTAATTCCTGTCATTACAAAACTTCATTGATATGCAGTTTTTTTGCAATCTACGGCCCTTCGACCCACAGCGGCTTAGCCGTGAAAGTATGCGGCCCACGGTCAACCGGTTCGATTCCAAGACTATTACCTAACAGCAATGTGGATCTGATAGTTCTGCCTGCTCTCTTACGTAATGGAGTGATGATATTGAATTGTTGATTTAATATTGTCTGCCGTGGTGGTGATGTTGTTGTAAGTGTGGCTTTCGTGCAAATGGTCTCGGGTTTGACTCTAGAATCGGGCTAAATATTGCGAAATTCTTCTTCAGTAATTAGCACGCTGTCTAGGATAGTGCCTGGTAAATGACTATAGGAACACTTACATAGTAGGTATTACAGGAGCCGTATGACCGTCACCAACCCCTCTAAATGGATGCACTGTTAGGTGTTACTCAAAGGTTGGCGAAAACCAACATAACATAACATCACGCCTTTTATCCCCGAAGGGGTAGGCAGAGGTGTACATTATGCCACCGTGTAACACCCACTTTTCACTATTTATGTTATGAGTTCCATGTAATAGGGGGTGAGCGTTTTAGCGACTGGGCAACTGTAGGTATTCGTAAGAGTAGGGACAGACTTTTTGAACTTTATGGAATGAAACCGTACAAAAATGACCCCCAATTTCACCAGTATGTAACATCTTATTCAAAAACCTTTAGAATAGTATGCAGAGTCGCGAAACGTCTTTATATTAGTAATAAAATAAAATCGTCTGATGATAAGATAAAAACTACTTGGAAAGTTATACACAACGAGACCGGTAGGAAAAGATTAAGAAACTCAGAATTTAATTTAAATACCGAAAGGGGACAGATTACATCAAACGTAGATGTAGCCCAGGAGTTTGAAAATTTTTTTACTAGTATTCCTATTAAAACAACTGAACATTTAAAGTCATCAGCAAACCTCTCTGTAACTTTGCTTAAGAACAACATAGAATCATGTCAATACGACTTTAGTTTTCGATATACGAATCCTCTAGAAATTATAAAAGTTTTTAAAGAAATCAAGACTAAATCAACGGAGGATCTTTGGGGCTTATCGGTAATGGTTTGCAAGTCACTTATCCAAACTGTAGCGCCATATCTGGCTGTGATTTTCAATAAATGTATAGATGACGGTGTTTTCCCTGACCTAATGAAATATAGTAAGGTTATCCCACTATTTAAAAGTGGTGACACTAAAGAACCTAACAACTATAGGCCAGTGTCTGTTTTACCGGTTCTCAGCAAAGTCTTTGAAAAGTTGATGCTGTCTCGGATGCTTCATCATTTTAATAAACATTCCATCTTTCACCAACAACAATACGGTTTCACTAAAGGTCGTTGCACAACTGACGCCGGTGTCACTTTGATTAAGGAAATATTTGGTGCTTGGGAGGAAGCACAGGATGCTATTGGTGTATTTTGTGACCTCTCAAAAGCATTTGATTGCGTTGACCACGAAACACTTTTGCTGAAATTAGATCATTACGGGATAAGAAACTCTGCGCTCCGTCTTATGAAATCTTATTTAGAAGAAAGACAGTTAAAGGTTCATGTTAACGGTATTAACTCACAGGGCTCTGGGATGAATATGGGCGTTCCTCAAGGTTCAATATTGGGTCCCTTTCTCTTTTTAGTCTATATAAATGATTTGCCATTTATATTTAAAAATGAACCAAGAATGGTGCTTTTTGCAGATGATACATCATTAATTTTTAAAGTAGATCGACGTACAAATAATCTTGACGACGTAAACAGCTCCATTCTTCAAGTGCATAATTGGTTTACCATTAATAATCTAGCACTTAATGAAAAAAAAACAAAATGTATTAAATTCAGTTTACCAAACGTGCGTAGTAACGATTGTGATATTGTTTTGAACGGTCAAAAGTTAGAATTTGTCGACGAGACAGTATTTTTAGGCATTACGTTAGACAATAGGCTACAATGGGGTCCGCATATAAAGGCGCTTTCGGGGAGATTGAGCTCAGCTGCTTTTGCAGTTAGACAGATTAGACAGCTCACGGACGTAGATACAGCTAGGCTTGTCTATTTTAGTTATTTCCACAGCATTATGTCGTACGGCATTTTGTTGTGGGGTCGAGCTGCAGAAATAGAATCAATATTTATTCTGCAAAAGCGGGCTATCCGAGCAATATATAACTTACGCCGTTGCGAATCGTTGAGAGAATTGTTTAAAACGATAAATATTTTAACGGTGCCCTGTCAATATATATATGAAAATATAATGTATGTAAGGAAAAATAGGCAATTGTTTGAAAAAAGAAGCGATAGACACAATTTTAATACTAGAGGCAAAAATAAGTTAGCTATACCGCAATTCAGACTGTCCAAAGTACAGAAATCCTTTATGGGGTTAGGTATTAAATGCTATAATAAAATACCAAATAGCATACTAGATCTCAATGAAAGTAAATTTAAAACATATATTAAGCGCGAATTATGTAATCAAGCTTACTACACACTGACAGATTATCTTGAAGATAAGAATGCTTGGCAGCATGTTGGTTCGGCTCCACTGGACAATACTCAAATGTAGTCAGTAGTTAAATTCCAATAGTAGGTAATATAATACATAATTTAATACTTTAATTCTAATGTAGACAATCTAGTTTCCTTATGGCATCGAGCATTTCTTTCTTTATTGAAACAAAGAGTTTCCTTTTTCTTGTATAGAAGCACTATTTCTATGGATTGTCAGTATGCATATGTGAGC